CACATTATTTATTCAATCGAAGCTATTTGTGATACAGTCAATTAGCTTGCTCGAATTACTGGCAGCAGGCAACGTGGTTCTAATTAATATTTATTATAAAGTCTGTCACGAAAATACACTTCATCCGACTTCAGAAAAGGAGGATTAACAACTCTGTTGTAGGTTTTTTGCTTGTTACTTCAGAAGCCCTGAGCGAACCCCCCGTAAAGTGTATGAACCGGTGTTAATTTTTTTTTGTATTAGGTTCCGTTTAGTTTCTTTGTGGTTCCACAATGATTCAATTATTTTATTTACGGCTTGATCGAGCAATAAAATAAAAATCAAAAAAGTGTGTGTGTACTTATGTACATGCGTTAGAAGTTATACTTCATTGGCGTAACAAGATAAAAATCTTTTCAAAAATTTTGTCTTTCGCCTTATTCTACGTAAAATTTTACTTTCATCGCGTAACATGCATTGCTCAGTTTTTCAATATTTCAGTTCAGTTTTAATTGATCTTGCAAAAATAAATCAATCTTACAAAATCGAATCGAAGGTTTTTTATAAAAATGGATACTAAGATATGCTTATTTTTTACGTGAAAAGTTGTCAAGCGAGCAGGCGGTTCACCTAATGTTAAGTGATAATCTGCACCCATTGTCATTTGCAGCATCCGTGGGGTTGCAGATGCGTTGCCACCTTTCAATAAAGTGGGCTTCGGCTCATACACCCACCGGATGGAACGCAGAAGTAACATTTAAACATTTAAACTTCATGCCGGTCTCCTGCGAGTTCGTGGTACTACCCCGACGGACCTGCCCATTCGTGCAACAGCAAAGATCGTTACGTGAACCTACCACAGACCTACCACACATTGATAATTGTTTTACTTATTCTACAAAATACGAACTTATCGATAAAAAGACAATGTTATCAATTAGGGTTAATAAATAAAACAAGCTTTAATTGGACTAGTTTCTTTAATTAGCTAATAATAAATAATTTTCTTGCGTAGATGTTTTACATTAAATTTCACTTACAATATTAAAAAATATATATATATGATATACTTCGTGAAATCAAAAGTATGTAAATTGATTAAGAATAGAACTATTCATAAAATATCAGCGGCAGAGGCGGACGCCATTTTACATCAAAATAAAAATGGTATAAATCCTGGCTTGACTTTAATTTGGATTGTATTTTTATTATATTGGCAACTTCTTCAGAGCTAATGTCATTTAGAGCAATAAAGAGTATATACGTTACATAAACTACGTTCATTTTTTCGTATGTGTAATTTATAAGAGGAAAATTTCACTGAATTCAAATGGAAAAGTAAGGCCGTCTCCACTACCGTGCGATATTGCACATCACTGCAATCTATAGTAATCATAACTATAAAAATACAAGTAAATAAAAAAATATAAGAGACATTACAGTATTTATAATAAATAAAGACATGGGTACAGGCCGCCGCCTTATGGCTTAAGCAGCGATCTCTTCCAGAGAACCTTAGGGCTGAGAAATTCATTAAAAGAAGAAAATGGCAGGGGTGTACTAAATAAATATTAAGAAAAGTACATAGAAATACATAATAGTATATACATTTACATGTAATTAAGTCTTGTCAAATATTTTACATATTAACACTGCCAGGCAGGTCATGTGAGGTATAAAAAATAATAGGTATGAAATAAATATATAATATACCTATGTAATTATGTAACATAATTTCTCATTTTACTGTTTTGGTTTCGATGTCTTCCACAATGCCTTCGCAATAATGTGTTACAAATAAAGAAACACATTTGCAGTTACAATGCTGTGTTTTTGTTCTGTTTACAATAAAATTTCATTTTATATTAAAAAAACACAAGACAAACATGTATTTCTGTTAAAAACGCATCTTAAGTCTAAACATTAAAGCTTAATCTTAATAATAACATGCAAAGTATAACAACCAGCAAGATATCACATTTTTTTTTGTATCAGGTGCACAGAAAGTATAAGGCGTGTGTTAAGTATATTCGAATTGACATATCCTGTTAAGTTAAAACTGCGTCAATAATTGTTGTAATAGACGTTTACGTATCCGTAATTTTCTTCTATCTAGAGATTGATCCGAATTCGAATATTTAATGAATTTTACTTGTTTAGTAATTAATTTTATAGTATAAGTGGAATATTATAAAGATTTGATTATTTTTTTGAGATTGCTTAGTTATGAATTATTGTGCTGATGGTGTACAGTGCAGTGTCTTGAAAATCTGATTATAATGCAATATTCTCGAACCATTCAAAGTTATCAAGTTTGTACCTGTCTTCAAACTTTTTATAAACATATCATGAATACAAAATACGGTGATTGGTTTGTTTTTTCTTCATGAAATTATGTTTTATTGTCAAGATTAGGTGAATGGTAACATAGTACGTAAGTTAATGTGAAACTAAAGGACCAAGTAAATCATTAGTTTAACGGTTCTGATCGTCAAAGGAAGATAAAAAATCGTTGGCTATTTTTAAAAAAACGATCTTTATTACCAACTTTTGCTAAAGTTAGTTCAAAGACATTTAAACTTGCCTGTATACATAGACGTGTAAATATATTATTTAACCTATGATAATCACGAATACTAAATTACTAAAGTGTTTTTGCTCTAATATTAATCCTAAATAGCACAAGATTTACGATCTAAAATATTTTAAAGCTACAATTTGAAATGTGTCTAGCTACCGATTATTATCGATCAAAGATCTATATATTTTTAATGACAAACTAAAAATACATTGCTAGAAATTAACGGTTTCGAACTTTAAAAATTTGAAATTCACAGCGGGTAGCCCCGAAAAATATTGTTCGAATGTTTTTTTTTTGTATTTTCGGGCTTCGAGAACTTTTTCTGACACAAAGTAAGCAATCGACTAATGGCTGCGCGTCAAACGTACTGCCAATATCCATGATCTTTCATACTATAGATATGTTGTTAACGAGCTCGGAGTGAAGCTACGTAAACATTCCAATTGTGAAGTTTACGTTGCAAACAAAGAAAGGGGCAGCAAAGAGGTTTAATAAAGGGAAGATAAAGATGGATGCACCTCGACATTTTTTTTACCCTTATACTGAAGCGACAAACACTTGTCGTCCTCTTTTTTCTTATTGCTTTAATTACGTTATCATTTGATTATGTACTTGTTTAGATGGAGTAATGCTAACAAACGACGCGCTCTGTCTCCAATTGCGTGATATGTGTGAGTACCGCTAGTGTACTTATTGTAAACAAACTGTCACGGTGTGCGTGTTTATGGATGCCTGCTCTAAATTATTAACTTACGTTTTCTCCATTATTTAATAAGAATAATAGGTGGTTCAAATGACACTGACATAGGTGAGAAGCGAGTCTACCAATTTTAGTAGACTTTATTTCCGCCGTTTGATAAGGTCAAATGTATAATCAAAGACGCTATCCTTTTTATACCATTCGAACGAAACGCGTGACTGTGTGCTGTTACTCTGTTTGCAAACAGGAACGATTTCGAACGGTGGTATTTTATTCGTATAATAAAAATATCTATAGTATTAAATATCATTGGCCAATATAACAGGTTTCATTAGTATCGTGTTGTTCATTCATTAGTATCGTGTTTTTTTGTGTATACTGCCGGTTTCAATATTCTATCTACAGATATAGTTTAGTTACTAGCGATAGATATTTAACATTAGCTCCATAATACTTAAGTACTACGTCCAAAATGTATGGTTCATTTGATTTTTGACGAAATGGTTGAATTCTTTGATGTTGCAACTTTTATTTGCACCTGTAGATAGGGTTGGTAAATGTTGTATTGACACACAGATTGTTTAATATTGGACTTAACAATTAATTTTTTTTTAAAACGAATGAACAATATTTTTCGTGTTGTTAAATAATTATCGAAATTAATAATAGTGGCAACGTGGTTGCTCCGGTTACATAAAATTGGTCCAGAATTTTATTCATATCTAATTATAATCTGTGCTACATTAGCGCGGGGTCTAGTGCGGGAAATGTGAGCCTCGGATCTGGATTTCGATTTATTGAAGTTTTGGAGCCTACTAAGAATCGATTGAAGTATTTGTTATTAACAACATGTTCTTTAATTCATCCCATGGCATTTTAAGTTACATGTTGTAATTTTAGAAACAACAGCACGCGAAGTGCTTTTGATGATATTACTTTCATGCCCCGTTTTGTATTCAGTTGAATGTTAAAACAGACGAATAAAATTCTGTGCTTTGTTATTTTTACACCAAACTGAGAATATCTAGTAAGAGTATTTTGATGCAAAAAGTGAAGTACATCTAGAAAAAGTGATTTTACTGGATCAAAGCTATATCTGTTTGAAAGAGTTTATTTATGTTAACTATTTAAATAAAGCGAGAGGTAAATTGGTATTAGAGGTTATTTGGCATTTGGAAAGTCGAAATACGAGAGAAATATGTCACTTAAAACTTGATAATTAGACTATCTGTTCCTTTCCACAAACTGAATGACTAATCTAGCCGTGTTGTAGATAAATTCGTCAGCGGTGGAATTATCCCATTTGCTTTATTGGTCTGCCACTTACGCATAAGTGTCACAACGGATCCTAAATCATAAACTGTTCCCATCAGACGATATTAATTTGGATACATTTATTAAAACACCCCGTTCTACGAACATTGAAGTGAGTAAACGCTATTTTAGAATGGTGTCAAACATTGATTTTTGAATATTTGGAAAATTATTTTAATTGATTTTTGAATATCTGAAAAATTGTGTCCCATGTGTCAAGACAAACAGTAAGGGAACACAAGTAGCCCTTTAAATCTTATCAGCTGAATATGTCCGTGAGCAGAGCTTTTTATTTTTGCTCAGTACGTTAATGATGTTTCAAGTATTGTCGTGCTAGACTCGCAGTGGCATACTTCGTTGGCTTCGCTGTCTGAGGGTGTTAGATTGGCATACTTCACTTCGCTGTCTGTGGGTTTTGACATCTCATACGAGCCTGGCTACGGCGACCGCCAGCAGTGAGATGCCAGCCTTGAGCCGGAGGGAGGGCTCGGGGTGCGGCGCCGATGAGTTCCCGGAGAGGATGAGCGCCCGCAGCCGCTGCCTCTCGCGGTAGCGCGTGTCCTCGCCGGGCGGGTCGAGGCACTCGAATTCGCAGCACCGCTCGCCGACGCGGAAGTTCTTACAGAACTGCCGACAATTTTTTTGTTTTGTTTTACAACGATGCCCTTACTGTAGGATAACAATATCCCGTGTTGTATGGACGTTTTACAGCCATAAATCTCACTTGGACAAACACCTAGATCAGAAACAATTATCTGTGAGTGACATAAATACTTGTTCCGGGTGGTAATCAAACCCACGACCCCGGAGGCCGAAGCCAATACCTTGACATCTGCGCCACGGAGTCATCAAATGTGGTCAGTCACAATGGGTGGGTGACACGCACTCTAGCTTTTATAAATGTATTAGCGACGCTTCCCGGCTTCGCACGAGTGCAATGTATTATATACATAAACCTTCCCTTGAATCACTCTATCTGGTAAAAAAACCTCATCAAGTTCCGTTGCGTAGTTTTAAAGATCTAAGCATACATAGGGACAGACAGACAGCGGGACGACTTTGTTTTATATTATGTAGTGACGAAGGTGGCAAGCGAGCTGGCGGTTCATCTGATGGTAATTGATCACCGCCGCCCATGGACATTTGCAAAACCCGCAAGGTTGCAGATGCGTTGCCGCCTTTTAATTAAGCGGGCCCCGGTTACCTCATTGACCATACTAAATGCAGAAGTCACAAGAAATAACTCTCACTTTACGCCGGTGTTCTGTGAGGTCGTGGTACTTACCCGATCGGACCTGCCTATTTATGCAACAGCGATGCCTGTTGTTTGGGCTTACCACGGCATAGTTAAACAAAAGGTTTTCAGTAATACATCGTTAACGCCGGTGACCGGTGCTAGCCACCAAGACTAGTCCGTCACGTTACGTCGTATCACGCCGTAGAGCAATACCCGTACCTCCAGTGTTACCTTACAATTTTTGTAAACTACTGAATACGGAATGTTATGAATAAAGAATTAAACGCTTAAGAATCTATCGCACCATTATTTCCGAGGACTTTAGGTCGGTGCCGTAACACATTTTTAAGCTGACCTTCTGTAAACTGACAAGTAATTGTGTTATGATAATCCGATAATTAGTTAACGGCGGCTGAAACTATGTCTTTCCGCAGCTGTTACGTAGCTACAAATAATCTTCTGCCATCACTTATGAACCAATTAGGTTGCGCAATGATGTCTAATCCTATCTTGTTTTCCCTGAGACGAGACCCGTATATAATAGGCGATAAGGCCGTTATAGTAAGCCATAGAAATGCAGGTTTAATCAGTACGAATACTCTGGAACCTCATGTTCTCGAGTCTACATCAGACCCTCTATAATTATAAAAGAAAATACTTGTTGGCAACCCTGGCTACGATCTGCATACTGAACTACAGTACTCTTATGCTCAGTTTGGGCATCAACTGTGGTATTGTACTTTCGCGTTTTGTCTGATGAGTGAGGTGACGTAATCTAGGAGGCACTTTTTTGGTTGTTATGTCCTGTGATAACGAACATAAAAAAAGTACAACAAAATCAAGAACCTAACTACGCTTTTGAGGTCGGTTGAAAGCAAATTGAAAAGAAAATAAGCACCGTGCTATCGTGTTTAAGTAGTTAGGCTTGATTTTATGGACACATTACGCGATCGTCAAAGCACAGCCTCGTGAAGCAGCTCATTATAGCCAAGATGAACGGCAGACGTGCTCAAGACAGGGCGCCGACAAGATGGTCTGACACAGCTAAGAACACGCCGTTCATCAGTGCATGTGGTTACGATCAGAATTGAGGGATTGAGCAAGAAGAAGAACGAGAAGAGAGCGAGGTTAGGCTGTCGATTGGTCAAGTAACTCACGTAGGGTGGGTCGCAGTAGATGGCCTTGCACCACATCGGCTCCGCGTGGTAGCAGACGCACAGGGAGCAAGCCCCAGGGCCCGGTACGTACAGCAGACCGTGCGCCACCGCCTTGCCCTCCCAGTCCGTGCATCCCTCCTCCATGCACGCTGCGCAGGAAAAGGCTCGTGAGTAGGGCCGGATTTAGTGAGGCAACCGGGGCCACAGCTCCGGGGCCTCCACAATAGAGGCTTCGGAAAAACAAATCAAATTCAGACTGGCAAACAACTTTTCCTTTTATATGTTTTTCGCATTTTACCTGTACCCACAGTGCTAAGTACAAACATGATAAATATTAACAGACATCACCAATCTATATTTGTTCGCTCAATTCAGGCAATTAGTAAAATAATTTGGGACCGAGGGGCCTCCACTTCTTTGTTGCCCCGAGGCCTCCAGATCTCTAAATCCAGCCTTGATTGTGAGTAAAGGCTGGAAGCAATTACATTTATTTGACAAAGTGGCAAACGAGCTGGCGGTTCACCTGATGTTAAGGTGGCAACGTTTCTGCAACCCTACGGTTGTTGCAAATGTCAACGGGCGACGGTTATCACCTAACATCAAGGGAACCGTCAGCCCGCTTGCCAACTTCTCACACTAAAAAAATTAATTTAAGTTTTAATGCATTTTTTCAACACTATCTAATACATTTTTTTTATTATATGCCGAACACATAGTGCCACGACCCTGCGCCACCTGCATTAACCGACTTCCCATACATTTGCACAGATCGTCTAGTGGGGGATCGTTTTACTTTATGATATTATTTTTTTATTTTTTTTTGTAAAAAGTTGCCAAACGAGCAGACGGTTCACCTGATGTTAAATGAATAGCACCGCCCATGGACATCTGCTACAGCCAAAAGTATGCAGATATGTTGACAACCTTTTTAGAAATTGGGCTCCGGCTACCTCACTCACCAGACGAAACGCGAAAGTATTATACTTCCACTTTACGCCGGTCTTCTGTGAGGTCGTGGTACTTACCAGGACGAGCCTGCCCATTCGTGCAACAGCCGACGCTGCTGCGTGGCCCTACCACCGTTAAAATACACATTTTAATTTTTACATAAACCGTTAACACAGATTTAATTACAGTATTTACTTCGCAGTGTAGCCGACCAAAAAACCGGCTCTCCATTTATTATTAACAAGATTCACAGTGAATCGCGGTGACACTCGGCATCTGGCGGCAATAAATAAAATCATTGATGATTTATGATCGTTTAATTCGAAGTAATATTATTTTTTTTAATATATTGTTATTTATTTCCATAAGATGCCAATATACGATATTTATTACGATTGAAAAAATAAACCGGTGTTCGTTCTGTATTATCATTTCATCGTAATATATATATAACAAAATAATTTTTCACTCTTTAATGATTTTTTAAACGGTCAAATTTTCTACCGGGCCAAAAACTTTCTTAACATGCAAAAAAAAATAAGAGATAAACTTGACCTTAAAGTATGTAGGAGCAACAATGCAATCGAGATTCCGCCGTTAATGATAAATACATTGGTATAGTTAGACGTGTACGTGTTGGCTCAAAATACTCCGTTTCATTTTTATTATAAACATCTTCTGTTCTATTTAAACGGTTAAACATGTGCGTCTTTGTCCAGCTATTATGTGTGGTCGTGACGTGTGCCGCTATATTTAAAGACTATTAATCTGGCGACACTAAAGTCAGGCTGCGGCCAGACTGATGGCGGGAAAAGTGTTTTAGTCAAGGGCAACATTAGTTATTAGTTAATATTTTTACACATGTTACGACGTTTGTATTACTTATTGTTCATCTCCTTTTAATGAGAGGGATAGAGTATGATGGCTTTAATGTACACCTCTTTCTTCACCTTCTGCACTCATATTGAAATTTAAAATTTGATTTTGAAGTTATACTTCTAATATTATATATTTTAATTTTAAATTCCCAGCGTTTCGAACTCTTTACAGCGTTCTTATCCAGACACGTCTTCGTTCGTATGTCTTTCATTTAACATCATTTAACATGATTTAATATTTACTAGCGACGCGCCCCGGCTTCGCACGGGTGCAATGTATTATACATATAAATCTTCCTCTTGTATCTAGTAAAAAACCCCATCAAGATTCGTTGCGTAGTTTTAAAGATCTAAGCATACATAGGAACAGACAGACAGCGGGAAGACTTTATTTTATACTCTTAAGAATATAAATAAAAGCAAGCTATGCTATAAACGGACTATCGTTTCTTATGTGTCTATGTGCGCGTGTGGTACAGAGTAAGATTTGCCAATTTTTGTGCATCCACAAAAGTCGTAAAATTCTAATTCTATTATTTGGCAAACGTTTTCAGGAGTTAGTTTTCCCTAAGTATCTCCGAAGCCCAAGATCAAATACCAATGAGAAAAGCTTTCAAATAAAAAAAGAATCATCAAAATCGGTTCACCCAGTCGAAAGTAAAAAGAAAGAAAGTACAAATAAAGTCGAATTGAGAACCTCCTCTTTTTTTGAAGTCGGTTGAAAAGTATTCAACGCGCCTAAAAAAGTTTTCACATCAAAAGTTACGTAGTTATAACATCAGTTCTCTTCTCGCAACCTATCTGGACAAATGAGGAGAGATGTTTATCGGATTTATCAACAATGTGGGGACACATAACTCCTTACGAGAGCCATACCGAACGCCGTCGTCGCTCATAAACGTTTATTGAGCCGCGAAACGAATAAATCAATACAATCTACTGTTTAACCGCAACGGGTACCAAGCGGCTTCGTTCCTTCAATAACAAACCGTTACTTTTTCGACGGTAGCAACAGACTGACGCCCGGTTTGAAACACTGATCAACATAGATGTCAACTAATCAGCTGTCAAATGAATTTCAAATTTCATTTTAGTTGCCAAAAGGATGTTTAAACTCTTTGAATTGGTCATTCTGATCATAAAGAAGATCATTCTGGTCAATTCAGAGAGTTTAACCATCATTTTGGTACTTAAATAGTAATTTGAAATCCATTTGACAGCAGATTAGTTGACATCTACGATGATCAGTGTTTCAGAAACCGGGCGTGATTGTGGCACGCGAGCTCCGAACCAAGCGATAGTTAACGCTTGGTATACGATCCCTTTTTTTTTATTGACGTGGGGAAATACCTACGCATACCCGCTCTGGGGGCAAGATCGGCTTATGTCGGACTCGCACCGAACAAAACCCCAACGACATTCCACCTAGGCGCATATCGGCGGGGCCACGCGACTTGGTACACGATACCTAGCTTTTGTTTATGGCGCGAAGGGTCGTGGCTTCGATTCCCACGAGTATTTGACGACCCGAATGGCGTAGTCGGTAGTGTACGAGCCTGCTGCGCCAGAGGGTGTGGGTGCGATCCCCACTACTGGAAAAATATTGTGTGATGAGCATAGTGTTTTTCTAGTGTCTGGGTGCTTATATATGTATAATGTGTATTTATTTACAAAAGAAAAGTATGTTTAAGTATATCTATCAGTTTTCTAGTACCCATAGTACAAGCGTTGATTAGTTTGGGACTGGAGAACGTTGTGTAAAAAGCGGAGCGTGGCTATGGCAAGGTCTGCGGTATCATTCTCTGTTACATTCTGTTGGATTATATATGTGCGGAAGTGACTGTTCTGCACTAGTTAGTACATACGTATAAAATATAAACGGAGTAGAAATGTATGACGTAACTCAATAAGACGGACAGGCGCGCTTTGTTCGTCCCATTCTGAAGCGCCCCTTTTGTCTTATTAAGGCCGAAATCATTAATTTTTCCTTAAACGGCCTTTGCGCGTTTTCTAGTAACGAAAAAAAAAAACAGTTGTATAATATTTTTTTTTTTAAGTAGTAAAAAAAATTACAAAAAAGAGGATACCTACGGAGTTTCTTCCGGCTGTTTCTTCTCCGTGAGATCAACCTCATTACGAAATGGTGTTAGATTAATAAAATATGACTATCGATAAATGAAATGTATTTTTAACCGAATTTAAAAAAGGAGGAGGTTTCTCATTTCGACCGTATATATTTTTATTTATGTTTGTTCGCGGATAACTTCATCGTTTATGAGCCGATTTTGATGATTCTTTTTTTGTCGGAAAGGAGATATTCCAAGGGTGGTGCCATTATAAGGAAACCCGAATCTGACGATGGCATCACATAGAAATCGAGGACCATCATTGAATGTTATAATTTTCTGATTGAAGTCGGTTTTTTTTTGTTAAAAATTATACTTGCTTTTTCTTATGTCGATGATGAAATTTTGATTTTGATTTTAATGCTTTCTATCCGCTAAAAGCAATCGAAGAGACTTTCCATGAAACAATACTAAAGCATATTTTCTTTTCGAGTACTTCAAAAATTTATTATCTAGTTATAAGCAATAGAATAAAAGTAACGAAAACACTGCTGTGAATACACACGGCGGCTTCCAATGCAGATACATTAACATATTTGATTTTAGAACGTACAAAACGAACTGTGAAACTTTAACAAAATTTTATTTTGTTAAAGTTTCACAGTCATCAGATATTTCCAAATTGTATTTACTGGTATAATATAATAAGTAACAGACATTAATATATTTAAACATACTTTCCTTTTGTTATACTAAATGCATCCCTATTACAGAAACACGCAGATATTATAAAAATACTACGTTCATCACACAATACTTTTCCAGAAGAGGGGATCGAACCCACACCCTCTGGCGTAAGGCAGTTTCACTGTCCACTACACCAATCAGGTCATAAAGTAAGTTAAGGATCCCATTCTCATAATCTCCATTAGTACATTACGAAATCGTTAAAATGTAATCGCAAATATCTATATCAATATCTTTACTAATATTATAAGCGTGAAAGTTTGTATGTATGGATGGATGTTTGTTACTCTTTCACGAAATCATTACTGAATGGATTTTATTGAAACTTTACAATAATATAGCTTTTACATCAGAATAAGACATAGGCTATAATTTATATACATATTTTATGCATATCTGTCTTTCTGTCTGAATCTTACGCCTTCAGCCTATTCTATGCAGACGTAGTCGCGCGGCAGCAGCTAGTTATCTATAATCGCAAATATTAATCTTTATAGTTAACTTATTGCT